CCCCGTGGGCATTAATGGGTTAAAAGGACGTCCACTAACTGTATTGAGGAATACCAGTTATCAGCTGTAATGTTGCGATTGCTGTTGAAGAGCGATGTTTCTAGGCGTAATATTGCTTGCGTAGGTTTTAAAATCTTTTTATCTCCGTCTCTGAGACCAAAACCATCAGAGTCTTTTCCGCTTTAGATATGTCATAAAAATAGCTATTTAAGCTGTTGAGCACTAAATTTTAAGGCCATATTTTGCTGGCTTGTTTGGCATGTACATCTTGGAGCGGCATCTCTCACGGAAACTCACCAGCATTTCGTCTACAGAAGCAGATATTGCCCTAAACCATAAACACTTTGAAAATTCTCTATAAAGCTGTTGAGCACAAAGGATATAGCTGCATTTTTTATCTTATAGAAGTCAAAAGGAAAGTAAATCTTTTCTTACTGAGAACTGGTCTAAATATGTCCCAACATGTTCCATCTGTTGCAAATACATAGTCTAGATATTCATGACTTGAATTAAATACGGCCGTGTACACAAGTAGTCCAAAAAAGCTTATAACTCGGTTATATCTGTTTCTCTTAGGTGGTGTTTTGAAACAGCCGAATATTTTTCACTAATTGGATTCAGTTTTTTGTTAGTGCACTGGGTAATATGCTCCAAAATATTATTACTAAAGAGTAAGTTCCAAATAACCAGGGGATCTGCAGTCTCACCAAGCATCCGTGCCTTTCATTTCAGTACGGGCACCTTCATCACAATATTATGTTTTCGGACTTTAGATGATGAGCGAACTCCTGAACCACACCACCTATACCGATTTTTGCAATATATATACAGGGTGTCCGCAAAGTTGGGGTTTTCCTTTTCAGAAACAACTACCCTTGAAATAACAAAGGTAATGTGTAGTGAAACGAGGGCGACCAAGTAAAAAAATAAAGGAAAAAGTACTCACTCTCCAGTTGACGAGAAGGGCTAAGTACGTCTCTGCCCGAAATCATACCGCTCCAACAGAAAATGAAATCAGCTGATGCGCTACCGAGCAGACGCAGAAACCACATTGATTGTCTTACACTTAATGGCACATCTTCTAACAAGGAAGGCAAAATGTTGCGTAAAAAGTCTAGGTATTGCATCCCGTCCGATCGATTCGGGAGAATAAATGGTCCAATGAGCATACCGTTCACCATGTCAGCCCAAACATTCACCGAAAATGTTTGTTGAAAATGTGCCCGACGGACAGCGTGCGGATTTTCTACTGACCAAACATGAGTGTTGCGAAAGTTATTCACCCCATTACGCGTGAACGTAGATTCGTCTGTCACCAATATGCACTTCAAAAAGTCCGGATTATTGTCATGTTGATGCAACAACCACTCACAAAACCGCACTCTTGCTGGAAAATCGTCAGGTTGAAGGGCTTGTACACGTTGGACGTGAAACGGATACAGCCCCTCTTCACGCAGCGTTTGCCACACTTTAGTTTTTGATACTTGCACTTCTCTAGCCACGTCTCTAGTGCTTGTTGTTTTTTGAAACGCAATCGATAATACGGGTTCGTTTACCTCTACACGCGTGACCGTAACCGTCGGTTGAAGGTTGCATACTAACCTGACACACTGATCCCGACCCAGTTCTGTCGTCGGGTTGAGCTAGTGTCCTAGTACCAGGGGGGGATGTCGCGGGTCGCGGCTACAGGACGGTATTCAGATATTTTTGATGTTGCAGAGCCCTTTATCTCGGTTTCCTTAAGACATTGGTGTATATGGTACTAAGAAAAATTGCTTATGTTTTCAAGATCTACACGTCGTGTAAAGGAAAACCCCAACTTTGCGGACACCCTGTATATATACATATATCCTTTAATTTCTTTAGGTAGAAGGTAAAGTATTGCAAAAGTACACTCTTATAACTTAAACTCTCAAGATTTCGAAGATGTATGTCTTCATCGCCTGGAGTAAGTCGGCGAGATTGTTGCTGAAATTGTTTTTAAAACAACAGTGAAGGGAACACATAGTCGACGAATAAAAAACTGGACTGAACAGGTTCGATTAGGACGGAATTATTTTATTATTAAATGGCAAATCATTTCGATAGGTTTTTTTTAAAATAAGCGTTGATTGATTTAGGAAGAAATTTGGAGATTTTAAAACTATCAACTATTGAAAATTCCCCCGAGATTTCATCTTTTTTCCACTGATAACCTCCACATTATCCTACACGAGCCGGCCGACTGACCTTGGATAATGTGGAGGTTATCAGTGGGAAAAAAAGGAAAAAAAGATGAAATCTCGGGGGAATTTTCAATAGTTGATAGTTTTAAAATCTCCAAATTTCTTCCAAAATCAATCAACGCTTATTTTTAAAAGAAACCTTCCAAAATGATTTGCCATTTAATAATAAAATAATTCCGTCCTAATCGAACCTCATCAGTCCAGTTTTTTATTCGTCGACTATGTGTTCCCTTAACTGTTGTTTTTAAAAACAATTTCAGCAACAATCTCGCCGACTTACTCCAGACGATGAAGACATAGATCTTCGAAAGCTTGAGAGTTTAAGTTATAAGAGTGTACTTTTGCAATACTTTGCCTTCTACCCACAGAAATTAAAGGATATCTTCTCCAAACAGTTAAGGCAATTAACTATAAATACTATATATATATATATATATATATATATATATATATATATATATATATACTCGTTTCACTTTCAGTTGAGTGCAATTCATCACTGTCATTGTCCTCCTCACATTCAGATAATTCAGAACTAGTGTCATGCTCTGACTCAATATTATAGTCTTCCGACACGTCATCTATATCACTACCACTATCAGTTAATTCGTTATTCCACATAGCGAGAGTTTCTTCATAATCACGATCACCCCGTTTAGCTGGCCCAGCCATAACTCATTATATTAGAACACGTACTAAAATAACGCAAATGGCCCGGCGTAGTTTGACAAACTACCGCACAAATATAATGGCTCCTAACTCTTAACTTAGGATATAAGTAAATGGCGTTCGCATTCCTAGTGGAATGATTGCCGCCCTACTTGGGCTCTTCTGGTTTATAAAATGTGGGACCACTCCGCATGTTTTTGTTTTTCTTTTCTTATAGCTTTTCATGCGACTTGGCACTATTCACTACCTTTTTCCAGTCTTTTCTATTCGTGCAGAGGTCTCTCCAGCTTTTAATTTCCAAGGGTCTGTGCATTCTTGGTCTTCCCATCTTACTTTTGTTTTTCCTCTTGTTCTAGCTATCGTGGACTTCTATTTAGTAATCTTTTTGATCAGTGCATCATTGTCTCTTCTTTCAATGTGTCCTTCCCACCTTAACCTTTGCGACTTTATAAATCTTAAGACGCATCCACACAGAAGTAACATGACTATCGACTTTTGTCGCACTATGTTTCTTGACATTAAAAATGTTGAAGGAAAAGGAAACTTTACTGTCCACACAAATGAAAATTGTCTATGGAGGTTTCTAGTCAGTGAAACAAATGTCGCAAATATAGGAAAATGAAGTGTCCACACAAAGGAAACTTGTTTCATGTTTTAGTTTAGTCAACATTATCGTCTCTATAGCGTATGTGTTGTGTGAAAGTTTAAATATTAATTATAAAATAGGGTTGTGGGATAAATATGATGCATTAATAGCTGCAGCAGCTTTCGTTATTTTAAGTGGAAAAAAAACGTAAGCGCGAAAGGGGATGTTGGGTACGGCCTTCATTACAGAATAGATCTCACATGGAGGAGACAGTCTTTTGAGAGGTTTGATCGCTGATGATCAGTTGACTTTGGTGGTCATCTAAATAATTTTCTGAGAATGTCAACCACTGACTTTGATATTCTTCTCAACAAAATAGGACCAATTGTTTCAAAACAGGACACAAACTGGAGGCGCGCTATTTCTGTGAAAGAACGTCTGTTGATTACAATAAGATTTTTGGCAACAGGTGATTCCTACCACTCCATGATGTACCTTTTTAAAATATCAAAACAAGTAATATCTCTTATAATACCAGAAGTATGTGATGCCCTTTGTCAAGTACTTGAGGATCAAGTGAAGGTAAATAAATAAAAACAAACTTAACTTTTACACCTTTATTGTAAATTAACATGCATTTGGTATACACACAACTTATTAACAACAAAAATCGTTATTCTTTTTTGAACTAAATTCCGCAATGCTTGCGAAATATCGTTTTCAAAATTTCCATCCATTCTATTGCTCTGTTCTATATTTATGGTATTTGGGAGTGATGTTATTTGATAAGGCAACTGGTTTGATGCCCCAAAGAGCTTTCTGACAAGGAAGGTGAAGGTAAAGTAACTTTGAGAATATTGTGGTGGATAGTCGTATTTTCCCATATTAGCTTCAAACAAAATGTTAGAAATCATATACTCTACTGTGTTTCTAGCATAATCGGTTTTTAGATTTCTAAGTTTATTGCTAACAAGTTCACCGAAAATATGAAAACCATCTCTCTCCATTTTATTATGATATATTGTTTTCATTATTGCAAACGCTTCCTGTTGCTCGTCGTCAGCTTTAGTCTTTTTCATATATTTCATCTGTTTTGCGCTTGATGATTTTGATTTATGTTCCTGTGTTTTTGATGCACTATAATGAGAAGCCTCGCTGCTTGCCAAAGAAGGGCCTGAGTATAGTACTGGCGTTTGAAGTAACTTGTATGGATGTAGGTGAAGAAACTGGTTTTTCCTGGTGTTCATCAGTATCTTGAACAATCTCGTTGGATACCCCAGAATTCCTATCCAGCTCTATTTCTTGCGAAGCGTCACCCATGTCATTGCCAATTTCATCACAAGAATATGTATTCGTTTCCTGTAAAGAAAAAAGAAAACACTTTGAGCAAATGTATCGGATTATTTGAATTTTATGACCTAATTTTGTTTCCTAGCTTTATAATTTACCAACTATTTGGTATAGTATGAACAATTTCATTCTTTAGGGAAGTCAGCCCACTTTTATCATTTTTGTTACAGTTACCAAGAAATGAACAAGAGTGGAGATCTATATCTAATGAATTTTACTCTCGATGGAATTTTCCACAATGCGTCGGAGTAATGGATGGAAAACATGTGATGGTTCAAGCTCCACAGAAAAGCGGAAGCGAATTTTTCAACTATAAAGGATTCTTCAGCATTGTTCTTTTTATTGTAGCGAATACCAAGTTATATATTTCTCTGCTGGATCTCAAGGAAGAATATCAGATGGTGGAGTTTTTGGAGCTACTGCTTTTGGGAAAAAATTGATGGAAAATAAATTAAACTTGCCAGAAAGAACACCATTGACTGGACGCCAAGAAGCAGTACCTTATGTATTTTTAGGAGACGATGCGTTTCCTTTGACCCCAATATACTAAAACCATACCCTGGGTGCCAAGATACAGGGTCAGCAAGAAGAATATTCAATTATCGTCTCAGCAGGGCACGCAGAATTTCTGAAAACGTATTTAGAAATTTGTCTGCCAGATTTAGGGTACTACGAAAGCCATTACTCTTGGAACCCGAAAAAGTTAAAAAAATCGTCTCAACTTGTGTCTATCTACATAATTATTTAAGAAATAGTAATCAGTCTAAGCTTCACTACACACCAGGAGGCACATTTGATTCTGAAGATAAAGATACTGGCGAACTTATACCTGGTAACTGGAGAAGAAACACAGGAGGCGACAGTACGTTTCATCGTTTGCAAAATGTAGGACGTAAATCATCACTAGAAGCTAAAAATGTGCGAGAAGGATTTACGAATTTTTTCCAGACACTACCTTGATCAGTGTGCTGGCAAGAAAATTGTTAATAATTACGCTTTCCAAAAAGGGGAGGTCAAGTTTCGTTTAGAGAAAATTCGCTAGAATTAGTTTGCGATTTTTTTTTGTAACCGACTTACGCTAAACGAAACTTGAGTCATATAAAAACCCCGCTTGCTATGTATGGAATATAATAAATGACAAAGTTACGACTTACTTGACTTTGCATTCCTCCTTCCGTATATGAGTGTACCTTGTTCTTATCCTTCAGGAAGAGCATGTAGTTGTAGGCAAACCACTTAGACACAAAAACCGATGCAGCACCAGATTTTTTGTATTTTCGATATTTCATTCGCTCTCTATAAAACTGCCCGGTTAAATTCTTTATTTTTCGTTTATCTTCCGTAACATCACATAATACAGCTTCAGCGATGTTTTTCAGAGCATCATATCTTTTATTTGCACATTTGTGATCTGCATTTTTGGATTCCACAAACATTCCGCATCTTTATATATTTCTAGTAGTAATATTGTTTTATCATTTGTCCAACGGGCCATGTTTATTATTAAAACTATCGATAAGCAACTGATTACTGATGACAACCGTCCACACCGCAGAAACACGAGTCGCAAGTCTCAGTTTGTCGACACCTGTTACTCCAATTTCTTTGAAGTTTACCGCTCGGCGAGCGAAACACGCGACACAGGGTCGCATCCCGATATGCGACATAAACATCCAGAAACATTTGTCGACAAAGAGCAACTTTGTTTCTAGAAACTAGTCATTGATGACAAATGTTGCTTATTGTTGCTTCTGTGTGGAAGCGTCTTTACAATAACTTCTCCATTCGGCACTCCCAGAATTTCCTCATTTCTAAGCAACCTAAGCCCTTCGTCTTCTTTTATTGGTCCCATATGACAATTTTGTGTTCGAGAACTCGGAGTCTTTCTTGATCTTTGATTGTAAGGTACATGCTCCATATACGATTACCGGTCTGATTGCAACTTTGTACATCTTTAGATTAGTTTCCTGTAGTAATCTGTGGTACTACCAGTATGACCAACAGGTAACAACCCATCACTATCCGTTCTGCGATTTTCGCGGTCCTTTCATTTTTGCCAGTCACTAACACCACTAAGTGCTTGAATTGAAATACTCTTTCAAATCGGTATTCTCCTATTTCAGTTTCATTGATGCTGTTCTTGTCTTGTCTGGCTACCATTAGATATTTCGTCTTCTCTTGATTTATTTGTAATCCTCCTCTTTTTCCTTCATCAGATAATTTTAATAGCGCTTTCCTTAGACTTCTTTTGCTCCTAACAATAAGAGCAATCGCAATCGCTCTTCCAAGTCTTGTGGTCCTTACAGTTTTCTCTACGACTATGTTGTTGACAGCGAATCTCCTTGTCTAAGGCCCATATCGTCAGTCGTCCCTACAATTGTAGGGCGCGTTTATGGCCTCCTTGATTTCGATAATATTATGTCTTCTTCGGTAAGGTACATGTATGTCCTGCTTTTGCTTTCTAGTCTGCTGTCAATCAGAAGTCAACTGTGATGTTATGTTATGTGTCTTTTCTGACGTTTAAGATATTTTAGACATGAATCAAATGCCGAAGGATATTTTCTTGCAAATAATGTCGATCATTTATGTATTTATATATATTTGCCTAACAGCTTACAACCAAGCTGTTCCTTGATGAAGCGGGTAAGTTACAACATTTTTAAACATTGCATATTCATATTTATATACTTATCGCATTTTTGTCAGATGTGGTTCGTTCTCACAGACTTTATGAGATGTTGGATAAGAAACATTGTATCCCAAGTGCAACTGCATTGTTGATGTCGGAGATGGCTGTTTACAAATCATTGTCAGACTTTGGATTGCCTAGTGTCAGGCTCCAAGTATGTATAATGTGTAAATGCTCTGAAATTGAATTTAAACATGCCCTGCCCTATCTGGTATTTTTTTATATTATTGGGAACCTTAACCTAAAAATTTCAGACTGTAACTCTAAAAAATATCATTATAAAATTGTAGCCCACCCCAAGGTGTAAAATTTTTAATGTGTCTTGAATCTATGCATCTTTTTTGCAGATATAAACCATCGTGATATTGCATACAAAACTCCATATCTATTTTGGAAGGATAACGAGGCGAATGATCTTCCTAAGAATGGATTCATGCATCCAGCCACTTGAAAGCATGTTTGAAGGAGCCAACCTTACTGAAATAAGTGAATTTGCTTTTTGTGACTGACATGTGTTACACTGCAATTTGTAAATTTAAGGTAGGCATAAGCTTGTATATTCATTAAAGGTAAAAGCTATTGAGTTCAAGAGGAGCTTTGTTATGCCAGGGAAGGGGGTTCTCAAATGTTGCATGTGAGAGATGAAATGTCACACGAAACTCGATAAAGTGGCTTTTTGAATATTGTAATCAACATTTCTATTGGTACAAAATCTCACAAAGCTGATGCCATAGGTTAAATAAGAATTCAGTGATCTAGCAAAAATGCTATATGAAATACATATTTTAACGCTTAGGTAGAAAACAGACGGAGCGACTTTCGTCGACTCGACCGTCGAGTCGACGGTCGAAAAAATTGTTCAAACGGGGCGACCACTTTCGTCGAGGAGGCAGTCGCGTGTCGTATCCGCGGTAAGCTCGACGCGGCCCACGGTCCCTGGCAACGAGAGCAGGTTTGCTAGTAGTGTTCAATCAAAAAAGCAATGGGCCTAGACCTAGATGATGAATATGTAATGCTACTGTACTTGTTTTACCGGAGACGAATGAAGAAAAAAAAAGGGAGGCGTCTCTGGGTTCATCCAATTATTTCACAGCGCAAAGAGAAAGGCTTTTTTACTATATTGTGGCCACAGCTAAAACAGGCCGAAGAAAAATTTTTCAATTTCACAAGAATGTCCCAGTTTTCTTTTTATGAACTTCTCACTGCTATAGAACAAGAATTAAGAAAAGAAAATACTGTTATGAGGGACTGTATTTCCCCAGAAGAAAGGCTTGTAATAACTATAAGGTAAGAAACAAAACTTGGTTTATTATGTCTATTCTCATAGTCATGAAATAAAACATCGCCGTATGAATATTTGAACATTGTGCAATTTATTGGAAGCGTTGAAATATTCTATGATTATGAATAAAATATATAATACGTACTAGAAGAAGCAAATCAAAAGAGGCTTAATTCGGAGTCAACTTCAGCTGCGTAGCTGGAAACGTATGACGCTATCGATTCGGAAACAGATTCTGCAGGAGACGGTGCTGCCAGGGGAACTTGAGTAGAAGTTGATGACTCGGTAGAATTCATTGTGCGTTGCAAGTTCAGGGATGTATTAACTTGAAGTTCTTGATAATTTGGCGGAGGCTGACTGAAGTGAGATGGAGTTTGCTGACAATTATATAAAGTCTGATATCTTGGTTCGAAAACATCAGGCTGTACTTGAGGGTTTTCTAAGTGGGCTCGTGCACCAAACTCTGAACGAAAATTGTCCACTTGATGAAATGTTTGCCTTGGAGTTGGAGCCGCTGACGGTGCATATTTCAAAAGAATTTGCATAATTTCCATTCTCACTGCCAATTTCGAATCTTCTGGAATGTTCTTTAAAGTCGGATGCAGCGAAAGCAATAAATGGAAATCATCATCTTCACATTTTTCAACCCGCTGCTTTGTTTCTGCTTCACGTCTGGCTGCTGTGTTAGTTTCTATAGAACTAATTATTTTCATTTCCACCGGATCTAATCTTCTGCTTTTCGCAAAAGATTTTTTGTTGGATGAAGTAGATGGTCCAGGCTGTGTTGAATCGTCAGGAAAAATATCAGTTTCTTCCGTTTCTCGTTGGACAATCTCACTTTCCTTATGTTGCTCGTCCAGAGAATTGGTCGTAGACTTAGTGTCCAGTATATTGTTTAGAAAACCCATCTGCGTGGCATATATATAGGGTGTTTTCTTTTTTCCTGCTGAGCCTGATTTAAGTTTTTTATTAGATTTCCTGTCCTTTGCATACCGGTCTCTCAAATTCTTCCATCTATCCTGCATCACCTTACCTACGAGTTAATAAAATAACAAAAATAGAGAAACGTCAATTCACAATTATACAATGATCGGTAAAAATGGGCATTATGCGGGAAAGTTCTTTATTATTAATTTATGATTCTGGGATTTTCAAAAATTCCTCTCTTTATGAGAAAATACAAAATGGCTCCGTTAACATTCCAGAGGCCTCGCCTATAGGAAACTCTAAGACCTCATATCCATTTGTTATTGTTGGTGATGAGGCCTTTGCTCTCTCTGAAAATGTGCTACGACCGTATGGCGGCAAATGTCTGAGCGTCAAAAAAAAGTTTTTAACTATCGCCTATCGAGAGCGAGAAGGTACATTGAATGTTGCTTTGGAATCTTAGCTAGTAAGTGGAGAATATTTCAAAGACCCTTGAATGTTGATATTGATCTAGCAGAGTGCATAGTAAAAGCGGCCTGCATTCTGCAAAATTTTGTACGGCAACGTCACGGAGGAAGGGATGACACAAACGGTTTAGAGTTATGCCACTTTCCTTCTATTGATAAGGATAGCTTGAGTAGAGCTAATAAAAACGGCCTAACAGCAAGAGACAAATTTGCTGATTACTTTGTGGAAGTCTCACCGCTGCCCTGGCAACATCAGTCTATACGTTGAAACGTCCCACTCAATGTTTTTTGTAATATTTTTTTTTTCGAAAAATGATTACAATGTTTAAAACGCGAAGACATTATGAAGTGTAATTACATGTAATTAATAAAATCAAAACTAACAACATACCAGTTTTCTTTTTTTCCTCCAAAGTAGCATCTTCTACAAATATATTAATGATCTCTTCCCAAGCGTGCTTTTTCTTTTGCCTGTCGCCATACTCGCTTTTTGTCATGTCCCATATAGCTGGTCTCTTCTCCACCTCTTCTATTAATTTTTCTGGGTCTATTTCGTGCCATCCCTAAAATCTAAATGAATACAAAATTAAAAAAAAAAGATATTGGTTCAAAATAAATATCTATTAATTTGAGAAGATAGCGGAATTTATAAAATCCGTGATCCAACATATTCCATTGCGTGATTCAGTACTTACGTGTGTGAATTTCGAAATAAAATGCGTCTGAATTGATACACTTCAGAACATGGCATGATGTGTCGATGCCGCGTCGAGTGCCGCTGCAAAGTCGCGGGGAAATCATATGTCGACTCGACTTCAAGCGGCGAGTCGACAAAAGTCGATCCGTCTGTTTTCTACCTAAGAAATCACCATTACTTATAATTTTAACATATCTACTTGCATTGTTCAAAGAACATCCAATCCTGTTAAGCCCAGGGTAGGAGATATTGTTCCAAGACAATAACTCCAGTACAAGAAACGTTATTAGAGGGAAAAAAGAAGAGTCAATATATTTAAATTGGATATTTCAAGAAGTTTGATACCTAGAGTTAATTAACTTTCCAAAATGATCTAATGTACCCCCAAACTAGAAATATTTATTTGCAATTGATCAGACATCCTTTTAGCCCTGTTAACATAGCTTGTAATTTAGAAAATAGCATATAAACGTCAAGGATTAAAAATGATGAAATCTATATTTCTAGATATTTTTGAATGAACCTATTGTATTTCTGTGGGTATACAATGTAGAATAAAAAATATTTATATTGCCAAGTATTCTTTTATTTCTGCAAGTACCAACTGGAAAATATGATACATAAAATTGTTAAGGAATTCATAGATAGTATGTCAAAATACATAAGTATCAGTAATCAAATGAAGTCTTTATATCTAAAAGGTACAAATAATAACAGGAAATATGAACAAATATATGGTCAAAAAAACATGTCCTAAATGAAAAACTACAATAGTGTATTACAATAACCTTTAATAAATTCAAATTTACTTACATAAAATATATAAGGTGTTTTCCAACTGAATGTCAATATTTAAGAGGGCGACTTTTGGTTCTATTTTAAGAAGAAAACTTCATATAATTCAATGTCCTAAACGTCTTGACTTTTGAGAAACGGGGTGGTAAGCTTTTTAAAAATCAATCATTTTATTGTAATATCACTTTAAATACTTTATTAAAATTCTGCATATGTGTACTATCAAGAGGTATTTTTAATGTACGAATTTTTTTTTTGATTTCCACCAGCGACGTTCGTACCGACTTCACTTGCTTATTTTGGCAGACAATGATAGTACGCAACTGATTTCTCTTAAAATAAAAACTTTTAATCGAAATCTCGTCATTTCTAGGCAAATTTCTTTGCTTAATTTTTGTTCACTTCGATCCACGGTATTCGCTTACAAAAATAAAATAACATTTCTTTGCATGATCCTAATATCGTTAGTATGACAATGTCACTCTGTCGAGAAATAGATTGTATTTTTCAGGTGAAAACCGTGCGTCAGACTAAAAGAATTCAATTTTTCATGTCGGACCCACTATTTCCACCCAAACAATTCTCTGCATGGTGATATTGTCATAATATTTTTATGATCGTTTTTATAAAAACCGTGCATTAGATTGAAAAAAAAATCATTTCGTGTCGATTTTTGCTTCGAAGTGATAGAAAATTTTAATAAGAGAGAAATAAACAGCATACCATCACTGTCTATCAAAACAGGTAGGTAAAATTAAAAGAATGCCTCTTGACACGTTTATATGTATGCCAAATTTCATTAAGTGGTAATCCGAATATTCTTAATCAAGGATTTATTTTTTGACCTTGTTTACCACCCTGTGTTTCAAAAGTTAAAACATTTAGGATATATGATCATTTGAAGTTTTCATCTTAAAATGGACCTGAAACCACCCCCTAGGACATTCAATTAAGAAACAATTGCAGTTACCAATACTTCAAGAGATAAATGCAGACTTTCGAGCCAAAGATTTCATATTTTTTACTGCGACAATCATAACTAGCAAAATCTGCTCTTCATATGAGTGTTTCAAATATGAAACCTTTTCAGTTTTCGATATTTCTTTCTCAAACAGTAAATTTTTTTCATTCCTATGCCTCAGTTTTAATAAATTTTCCCTTTTATGTTAAGATTACAGATCAATGAACAAATTGGAAAAGAAACTGTATTTAGCTGTCCACATTTTTTCTTCATATACGACATTCTACAACATTAATATATGGTGCAACACATTTGATAAATACAATATATTGTTCTTTGAGGCTTAGTGCATTGATCTCCTTGTTCTTGACGATAGCACTGAAGTATGCTCAGTAGCTGAAGGCTCCATTATTGATAGTGATTTAAATCTAAAATGTATACCCAGCAGGTACTCTTCTATTTCCATTTCCACATGTTTATTTAACTTTTGTCTGATACGCGCCGTTAGGAGTTTATATGATACGCTTAATAAGGTTTATACCCCTGTAGCTACTGCTACGTGCAGGGTCTCATTTCTTGAACAAACTCCATTCTTAGGGTATTTGCTCCTCTGTCCATATTGTTCCTATTAGTGCATATATTTCCTGCAATAATCTTTCCCCTCCCTTTTGTACTAGCTCAGCTACAATGTCATCTGCTCTCAGGGTTTTCCTCTTCTTCATATAATTCACTATCCTCAGATACTCCTCGAATGTCGGTGGTTCATCAATCTCGGTATTTCTTTGGTGTATTACAAACACATGTTCAATTTCGTGTTCTGTACCAGTAAATAAGTTGGTGGAGTGTGCCACCCATTTCCGCTGGTCGATGTTACCATTGAACTTTTGTACTCTAAGATTATTTCTTATGAGTTCGAACAATCTGAGTTGTCTCTATCTCTGGCATCTTTTTACCAATCCACTCATTCTTCTTGATTTTCACAACTTTTCTGCTGCTTTCACTGTTACCCCGTAGACGTCCAGTTCTACTTGTGCTTTTGTGGCTAATCATTTTAGCCAGGCCTCATTTTTCTGTTTAATTTTATCTTCACATTCATCATCAAACCACTCTCTTCTCGCCTTCGTTTCTTTTCGTCGAATCGTTTCTTCAGCCGATGTCAAGATGGTTTCCTTCAGAGTTTCACAAGTTTTTTTATTTTCATTTGTTTTCCTTTCTTCGAGCTTGTCGTCTATCATTTGAATATATTTTTGGCGAGTGATGTCTGTTTTCAGTTTTTCTAAATCCCTTTTTTTTCTTGGTTTGCTTTCTTTGTTTTTCTTAATTACCTTAATTTTCAACTCTCCAATCGCAGTCTGCGTTAGCTCCTCTATAGGTTCTTTCGTGATATTCAGCCATTTCTTGAATACAAGTATATGATCTTTTCTCGGTATCATCCAAGTTATCTTATGTTCCCTTTTATGCTTGAATGTTGTGCTTACTAAGAACGTGTTTTTTATCGCTGCTAACTTACACAGTTTTTTCTCATTCTCATTTGTTTCTTCATGTAGTGTCTCTTTACCTGCTACTTCTTTGTAATGCTCCTCTCTCCCAATTTTGGCATTAAAATCCCCTAATATCACCAGTAGAATGCATATACGAGTACTTTCCCATATTTCCTCCAGCTTTTCATAGAATTGGGTTTTTTCTTCCTCCAGCGCTCTCTTCGTCGGCGCTTATACGTTTATAAACGATATGTTTGCTTTGTGGTTTTGATTTCGTAGTTCTATACTTGAATTGAAAAGTTGTTTATAATGGAAAGGAAAACAAGGTTGACACCATGGAATTTGACGTTCAACGTGGCAAAAGTCCGTGGATTTATTGTCAATGTAAAATGAGTATCAGGAAGTTCGAATTCTGTTCAATTTGGGCGGAGTTGTGTGAAGGAGATGTGGACTGTTGGAGAAGTATGTTGCAGTGGAAAGTGTGAATTTGGCAGTTTATTTGCGGCGATTCTGTTGTTCGACTTGTTAAGATAAGTATTTTTCTCAGATGTATAAGAGGATGAGAGGACGCTAAAAGTCAGAGAGGCAACAGTGTCGAGGAATTTTGTTCTATACGGGGTATAGAAGGAAAACCTTGATCTATCTGATTGGTATTTTGAAATATTATGTTATGTAGCAAAGATTTAAATTACATTGTGATTTAAACAAAGTCTGCCTAAATGTTATCAGGGCCACTAGATAACCGAGCTGGGCGCTATATCCATAATTTGGTCAGGCGGAAATGCCTACTAATTTTACATCGTCATGAGTGTAAAAATCTACATACAAGAAGATAGCTTTTTTTATTTAAAACGATTCCGAAGACAAATATTGCTAGAACCCAGATTAGGATAGCAGCAGTACAAAAATTTCCAGTTTTTCCAGCTTGTCCAACAGTTCTAGGTGTGGTTGACTCACTGTCTTGACTGAGCATCACAAATTTGTCCCCTATTGTGATATTGGCAGATGGATGGGCTCCCACAAGTGTTAGCGCTGCCGTTAGGTCTTCTAGGTCAGCTGTCTTTTTTTAAACGATCAAAAAAACTTCTTTTACACAAGCCTATCTCCCCCATTTTAATATATTGACTACATTCCGCATGAAAACTACATTTGATGAGGGCTAATATATTCCAGAAACCGAGATGGGCGGTATAACCCTAAATAAGGTACGGAGGAAATGCCTACCTTGCCTTATATCGACTTATTAAATATCATGTCATCACGTACTTATCTGCGTTTTTGAGCTAGTGGATCTCCTTGCGGCACCTCATTCGTTGTTTGCATAGTGGCCTAACAATGGCCACTGGCTTGTTTTCCACTACTCCACGCCACCTCAAGATGGTTTCCTCCATGTTAGTGCACCAATTGTACCATTTTTGCATCTGGCATTTTTAAATGCAGCTCGTATAACCAGTTTCACACTTTCTGTATAGGTCGCAAAATTTTTGAACCTTTTTACTCCAAGCTTGCAAGGTTATCCTCGATTCTGCCTTTTATTAAATTAGTGAAGTCAGCTCTTTTATATTTGAAAGGATTCGAAAGACAAATATTGCTAGATCCCAGATTTGGATAGCCGCAGTGGTATAAGATATTCCAGTAGCTTATCCAGCTTGACCAACTGTACTAGGTGTGGTTGATTCACTATGACGACTAAGTTTGACAAAGGTGTCCGGTACTGGTGGTACATTGTGATATTGGCAGATGGACCGGCTAAACAGGTCTTAGTACTGCTGTTAGGTCCTCTAGGTCAGCTGTCTTTTTTTAAACGACCCAAAAAAACATTTCTTCTACACAAGCCTATCTCTTTCATGTCAATATATTGACTACATTTCACAAGAGAATCTACTCGTATATTTGATAAAGGTTAATATGGACCCTTAAAAGTTGTTCCAGAAACCGAGATGGGCGGTTTAACCCTACATAAGGTACGGAGGAAATGCCTACCTTGTTTTATATCAACTTATAAAATAACCTGATATCACGTACTTATCTGCGTTTTTTGAAGTAGTGGATCTCCTTTGCGGCACCTCACTCGTTGTTTGCATAGTGACGTAACAACGGCCACTGACTTGTTTTCCACTGCTCCAGGCTACCTTAAGATTATTTCCTCCACGTTAGTGCACTAATTGTTCCATTGTGCCACCACATACTACAGTTTTTTATGCAAAGAAATACACCGCCGCATATGCTGCGGCATGGGCTCTGAACAGCAAAATGTATTGCTCAGTGCCC